CCAAGGTCCAGGCTGAGTGTACAACCCCAGCCCAGGCGCAGGCCCACCCCACATGAAGGGTTCGGGTTCCCTGCAGCTCCCAATGTGGACTTGCTTGCCCCGGCCACAATGAATGGTGGCAGCAGCTGGGCAGAAGTTGCTGCTGGGCAATGGGAAAAACTAGTACCTGGTGGTGGGCCCTTCTCATTACAGCTGTCTGGAGCTCACTCTGGGGCTGCCCTATGGGGAGGAGCCACAGGGCAGCCCCAGAACTGGCTCTAGGCAATCACCATGAGAAGGGCCTTGGCAGCAGCAAAGGGGAGATGGCCAAACTTGCTGCCAGGTCCTACTTTTTCCTGGTGCCCAGCAGCAGCTTCTGCCCAACTGCTGTCACCACTCATTGAGGCCAGGGTGGGCCAGGGCCAGAGCAGCCCAGGGCCAGTCATAAGCTGTTGCTGGGTGCCAGGAAAAAAGCAGAAACTGGTGGTGGGCACAGTCACCTCCACCTTGCCACTGCCAGGGCCCACACCAGTGCTGCCCTGCAGTTCTTCACCAGGCACAGGGCCCCAGAAGCAGCACTGGTGGTAGCAGTGGCTGTAGCCACAGCTTAAAGGGAGTCAGCCGTATAGAGGAGGAGGCAACTATACCCACCACCAGTTCCTGCTTTTTTCCTGGTGCCCAGCAGCAGCTTCTGCTTGGCTGCCACTGCCAAAGCCAGGCAGCAGCTCCAGCCCCTCCTTGGGGTACACAGGCAGCCCAGAGGCGGTGCTGGTGGTAGCAGGGGCCCCAGTTAAGCTGCCCCTGTTGAAAATGCCTCCCGCTCATGCCAGTTCCCTGCTTGCCTATAGCCTCATCCCACATAGGGAGTTTTGGTGACCTGTTGTACAGTGGCTGCAAGGAGGTACTGACTGGGCCCGCAACAGCTCTGCAAAATTTCCTGTGTGTGCTGTGGGCCCAAATAATTTAAGCCACTTGAAGTCCATTCTGAAAAAGCAGATATATGTCTCTTGATCTCCCTAGTGCTGCTATAAAGTTCTGTTGATTTATTTTCTATTTTAAATTCACTTTTTCAAGATTTTATGTGCCAAAGCAGTTTAGGGTGTCTCCCAACTCCTCTGGAGGTGTGAAGTTAAAGCCTGTTCTGCACTGTCACCAAATACCAATTCCAGTTGACCTAGCTGAAAATGAGCACCTGGTCATTTGAACTGGGGGAGCCAACTTAGCCAGATGTGATGATCGACATACCACTCCATTGTATGCCATTGGCTATAGAAACTGGTTTGTGTTAACCATACTAGTCCAATGGGCTTGCAGGCTCAGGTAGACTTTTTTACTTCGGTTTGTTTGTTTGTTTGTTTGTTTTGGGGTTTGTTTTTTTTACATAAAGATGCATGGTTTTCAATCATGCATCCATCATATTGTCAAAAATCAGACATGAATTCCTAGTTCAAATAGAAATGGAAATTTGTTCTTAATTAATCTCTGTTTACTAGCAAAATAATGAAAAATAGACATGTTTCTTGAAATGGTCTCTAACTCTTCACTGCCCCTTTTGAAAAGACACTGTAAATGTCATTTGTAAAGAATGTGACCTGGAAACATTCCGAGTGTCCGGAAAAAGATGTGTTGTACTTTTCTAACTACAGATGTTGGATAAGGCTACTTCAACTTGGATAGCAATGTTGGCAGAGTCCAGAGCATACAACCCTTAAAGGTTTAATCAGGAGACACAAAATGTATTCTATTTGTTCTGTTCTACTGTATATAAATATTCAATTTGCAAATTAAGGTAAGGTTTGATGCATTTCTCTTAATGTAGCTTGTATGTTTTTAAGCCTCAAGTAATGCATGTTGAAGAGATGGATACAACTGCCACTTGTTATGTGATTGATTAACATCAGTACAAAATGTACTAGATAAAATATATAAATAATCTGAATAAATTACTTGCCATTGAAATAAGTACTTGGGAAAAGAAAATAAGAGCTGCATAAGTCTCTATGGTCCTTACAGATGAATGTTTGTATGTCACCCATTCCAGTGGTTTGGGACCTCATGTTTGCATCTGGGGTGAGAATTTTACAGTGAACAGTACCAGCTGGGGACTAAATGGGGCCATGGTATTTTCATCTCTCCCTTCCTTTTTGTATCTTTTTTTTCCTGCTTAATAATGTTACACTGAAAAAGGAGAAGGTAGTAGCTGACATGCTGGTGTCATATTATTAAATAAGCAAGGTTTCTTTTTTAGTGATAGCTTTTACTGATTTAACTGTATAGATAGGAGAAATGCTGGGCAAGCTTTTGGGACCAGAGTAGCTTTCTTGGGGTCTGGAAAAGAAGTGCCAAATACCAACTAAAACAGTGACTTACGTTAACTCCATGTGCAAAAGAAAACAAACATTTAAGGGCCCTGTTGCACAGTAATTTTAGATGCCTTCTGGAGTTCTGGATAGGATGCATGTTAACACTTTTTAAGTGGCTTAAAGCACTCATTGTTCAGCTTAAATTTATGCCACTCCAGGGCAGTATTAGCTCTAGTCTGCCTAATTTTGCTCCTGTTCCATTAAAGTGTGCCCACTCTCCAAAGCTGTTCTGCCCAAATTGCAATCCTCCAGCATCCCAAGATGCAGTGACGTCTCCTGAGTCGGGGCGGGAATGCTGAGGTGCAGCAGGGCCAGGCACAGTGCCTCTGGCCTGCTCTTAGGTCTGTGTGAAGTGGCTAGTTTTTGCTTCAGATTCAGATTGGGCCGATTCGAGGGGCAGTGATTCGATTTGGTGATCCAGATCACTGTCGCAAATCAATTCAGCTGAATCTGATTCCGAGATTTGGCCACTGCCAAATCTCCAAATCAAACAGGCCCCATCCCCTGCTTGCTCTCCCAGCCCCGTCACTGGCTGCCCTTCCTGGCCCCAGTATCCCAGCACTTGGGGGGGGGGGGAGAAGTCCTGCACTCACTGGCTTCTGTCAGGTGTGGGGGGCAATCCCCACTTCCCCCCACTGCCTGGCACTGCATGGGGGGCTCTGCCATGAGCCCCCACACCCTACCTGCTCTCCCAGCCCCGTCAATAGCTGCCCTGCCCAGCCCCAGCATCCTGGCTCTTTTAAAAAAAAAAAGCCTGCAGCCAGTGACACGGCTGGGAGAGTGGACAGGAGTCACTCAGGGGTTGGGGGAGCAGGCAGGGGCTGGGGCCTGGTAGGGGTCCTCCCATGGTCCCTTCCCCCCTCCTCCACAGAGACGGCCCAAATCTTTTCCAGATCTATTCGGAGGCTTCAAATCAATACAGACCTTTTTATTGGTCTCCCAATTCGATTCAGATTTGGAGATTTGGCTGCCAAATCTCCTCCAAATCAAATCGGCAACCGAAGCTTTGCACAGCCCTACCTCCTGTTCCCACGGGGCAGTCAGTGCCACAGCCCTGGTGTGGCCATGGTGCCTCCAGGACTGGCTCACTGCTCCGAATGCCCAGGCCAGTTTGTGGCCATGGTAGCTGCAGGGCGGGGGGAAGATGCAGGCTGGTGCTCACCCCTCCTGCTGACCCATGGTTAAACCTGTGCCCAACTCTGCATTCCACTTTAGCATGTTCCCTCACCCAGGACCTGGACACACCCCAGTGGGGCTGGGCAGCTGGAGCAAGGCAGAGCTTGGCGGCTGCAATGTGGCAGCCTGAGCCCAGTTCCCTCTGACCCTGTGCTCCACTGGGCTCTGCAGGGCCCAGCTGCTGGCTCCCCAACCTGGCTTGCCCAGCAGCAGCCACAGTTGGCAGGCACCTGAAACCCAACACCCCCTCCTCCCTCCACCCGCCCTTTAGCAGCTGGGGAGCTCCAGGCATGTGGCACAGGGATCAGCACTTCCCATCTAAGCTGGGGCTGCACAGAGCAGGCATGGAGGCTGCACCACTCACAGCCACCTCCCAGGCTTGGTGGAGCGGGGAGGTCCTGTCCCTGTACCTAACCCCCCAGGCATGTTCCCAGACTGCTGGGCCCAAGCAGAGCAAGCGAGCTCCAGGGCTACAATGTTGACTTTGCCCAGTGGTAGCAGTGAACTGGTCCTGTCCCCAGCTCTGAGTCCTGACCCTGCTCACCAACCCTCTGGTGGCAAGTCACAGCTGAAGGATAGTCAGAGATCATTTTTGTCTTGAGGTATAACTGCTTCACTAAGCTGAGCAACAGTAAGCTGGCTACTGTTTGGTTGTTTGGTTTACGGCATATGGTGTAACAAGGCCTTAAGGGTTTAGAGGAGGGCTGTAAACTAGGAGCAGAGTAATGTTCAGAAATAACTTCAAACCTGGAGAAGTGTAGTTGAATAGATGAGCTAATTATTACCTATTATCTGTTGAACACTGAGAGATTAGAAGAGACACCAGCTAGTGCACAATAAGTCATGAAATCATATTCTTTGTTGTACTGTTTAACATCTAGCAAAGTTACGAATTTATGTTCCCAAACCCAACTTGGGAAGGTGTTTTATAGTGTTTTTTTTTTCCCTTGAGTATAAGGACTGTGAGGTCATACTGTTTTATGGAAAGTGTTCTCCCTCAGTTATCCTTTATCTTTTTTGTGATTATTCATTTGGGCTCATAGTGATTATATGGTTTCACCCATATTGTTTCTGAGAGGGCTTTCTGATTGGATGAGGTATATCACATTCTGTGATAGATGTATGTAGGATCAATGGATTCTGATGGTTTTGTTGTGGGGAGGGCTGATTGTGGCTGAAGTGAAAATATATTACCAGATTTTACATATTCTTAAGGCAGAGTTGTGTAGTGCTTGGTGTTCTTTGATCAATGGAGATCAACTTGCTGTTTGTCTAACGTCTTCCCCAACTATGCAGTTGATCCAGTAAGATACCACCAAAAAACCTTGTTTTTACATATTTAATGGACCGTGATGGATACAATAGCACTCCAACCCTACTATGTAATGGTGTTAAGTACTATCATATGACCAGTGATCATAAGCAGTAGTTTAACTGTGAATGATTTTTAATATTTTTGCTTACTTTTTTTTCATTATACAGAGTCAATACAAATTTGTGTGTGAAGCCATTCTTCGTGTTTACAAAGAAGGATTAGTTCGACCACTGGATTCCAGTTAGTACAACAGTGAAAAATTGAATTTCTTCTTTCTAAGACGCTTCCAGTTTTTGGAAAGCAATCAGCTCATTTCCATAAGCAAGTAGAAATGTTATCACAAGCCCATGGGAAGACAAATGAGCATATTTGAACTCTGGCACTTTAAATTTCTGTAGAAGAATGCTGAATCATGTACAGTATGTAGGAAACATGTAGATATGTATATGAGAGCAATTGTATGTAATATGCATTATATACATGCACACTGAAAACAAATAATTGTGGAAACCTTAGCACGTATCTTATCTTGCTGCCTTAAAACAACTTTTTTCTCTAGAAATTACTGTGGTTCTGATGTTGCCTGTTCTAAAATACAAGAGGAAAACCAGTAGTAGCATTACAAAATGGCCCAACTAATGAAGTAGAGAGTCTCTTCACCTCTGCTAGGAGCTGAGGACTCAACACCTTTAAAGAGGTTGGTCCCAAAATAATCATAGGCAAGGTAGTATTGGTCATGTTGTTTATTTTATAAAGATGTCTCAAACATTCTACACAAACAGAATACCAATAGCTGGCCAGTAATTGAATTGAATTACTGGAGAAATCAGTATTGAATTACTGGAGAAATTAGTATTCAGTATTGAATTACTGGAGAAATTAAAGAACAAACTCCCATAAACCTGGTAGCAAGTTATAACCTGCCACCTATACTAATACACTTTCAGCAAGTCATATGTAGCATAAATGACACACTAACTCATTTATTTTGGTGAGAGTATAAAATGCATTGGCCTATGACCAGGTTTTCCAATTGTTTAACCTCTGAGCAGCAATCTATTTCCTATGCTCCTGTCTATTGCACTCCTTTGCTCCCTTCTCTCTTCAGTAATCCCAGTTTATACTTTGTTTTGCTATATTCTGTTTCTCCTATTTAAACATTGTAAATGTAAGCTTATATTTAGAGGTCTGAACCTCTATAATCTTTGTTTCTCTGTATCTTTTTAGTTTTCAGTTTCAGGCATGGGCTAGTATTGCACATGACTGCTAGACCCTTTAGCTTATTCCATATGCAAAAAGTCTAATCCAGTACTGGAGAAAATATACTACTGAACCTATTCAATATATTGCTGCTAATTCAAGGTGTAAATTTTATGAAGGCACAAAAGTAACTAGGATTTGGACAGCTATACAATATTGACTTAATTCAACAGAAATCTTATTCCAATCCAGTGCAGCGCAGCTTTGTGTAGTGTGAGCAGTGCTGATCTTTAATGTCTCTTGCCTTTCAATAAATGCAACCAACTTCACGTGAAGATTCCTATGTAAAGAAAGAATGAATTTGTGCACTGGTAAATAATCCATACTAAGGTACAATGGTCTTGCTTTCATTTCAAAGCGGGAGAGAATTGAACTTTCAGATCAATATAACCACAATTTTGTGATGTTAATTTATTCAGTATGCTCTTTTGGATTGTCCTAGATAATTCTGTTTATTTCTATATAAATACTGTTTTAATTTTAGATAAAATATTCTATGAGATTGTATAGAATACTGTTATTTAAAACTTAGTTCTAAATAAGGAAGTTGTCTAAAAATCTATACATGAGCATATTACTCAGATGTTTATATGTGTACAAAAAGAGAGTTATCTTATTTTCTCCTAAGAGATAGATAGATATAGATATATATATGCACATAAATACTCATTTATATTTTAGAACTATAATTTGTATTATAGACACTACAATTTTTATCTAATGTTTAATTATTTTATTGTGCTTGCTATGCTTGAATACTCTGCAGCATCTTATGACCAACAGGGTTTTTTTTCAGAAGATAGTTTAAAGTTCATGTAGTACCTATTAAATCACTGACTACTCTGTTCTGTGGTTCAGCTCTTTCTTGGAGATTATGGTTGCTTGCAGACATTAAAAAGCAAACAAAAAAAATGCACCTTATTGGAAGAAGCATACTACTTTGACTGGGCTCTGCAGCATGTGCATAGATTGGGCACTTCAGCAGGGCTTTTTGGTGCTTTTATATAAAGCTGATTCAATCACCTGTTAGATAAAAGTGCCAAAAAAACCCCCCACTAAAGCGCCTGATGTATACAGACTTTGGGCGAGCTGGGTCCAACTGACACACTGCCTCTTCTGGGCATGCTCTGGGCTCAGTGCAGGAGCATGCCAAGTTTAAAGTAAAGCAGCATTTGTCTGTTTCTTTTGTTAATGTCTGCAAGCAACCTATGTTACTAGTCAGAGATGGAGGTGGGTAACCTATTTTGGGTAATACTCAGTTAAGAAACTAATGCTGTTTTAGAACAAATGAGGTAATCCGTCAGTTTTGGTGATGTGGGTTGGTCAGCAAGTGAGAAGTGGTTTCACTCAGTGGTTTGGGCATGGGCTGGAAGTTAAGATACTGGTTCTAAGTCCTATTCTGACTTTATCTCATTTTAAATCACCTAACCTCTTTATACCTCAGTCACTCCAATGTAAAATGGAGCTGCTTATTCTTGCTTGTACCTTGTATAAAGTGTGTTGAAAAATATACAGGCAAATTCCTATATATGTACATATTTATATTACAGAATTTTTAGATATTTGGAAAAAAGGTTAGTGCTGCCACACTGGAAATATAACAACTGTAGGTAGTAGCAAAGGAACCTTGTCTTCCACTTGGCTCACTGCCAGGAGACTTATATTATTGTCATTATTATTATTCTGTTTTTCTTTGCATCGACTCAGCACTTTAGAAGTATACTCGTCCACATCTGCCTATCCCGGGCTATGAAAAGAGCAGGTTATTCTGTTACTGGTAATTGATAGTATAACAAGAAATCAGAAAGAGAAATGAGTGCAAGACAGCAAAAGGAGTGTATTTAGGCTCCCTCCTCTCCCCACCTCCCCCTGGCTTGTGACATGCATTTAATTCTATTAAGTATTTCATTATTTTATAACCTATTTGTGTTTTAGACCATTGATATATTTCTTTCAGTACTCATACCTCTCTCTCTGCATTGAATGTATAATACTTACCAAAATGCAATAAGTTTCTTCAGGACATAGTTCCAATATTCTCCAGCTGTACTGCACAACTTTATCTGGCACAATAGCATATGCATTTAAGACTGTCATCAGATTTTGACGTATATAGTTCTTTTTTTTTTGTTAGTAAATCTAGAGAGAATAAAAGGCTTCTGTCTTGCACATCTGCAAATTAACACTTGGACTCTGAACAACTTTACATATGCAAATCTGAAATAGCAATACCTAAAGTATTGCTGAAGTAGCATTAACTTCAGAAATCCCTAAATTGAGTTTTTATAATTCATGCTTTAAAAAAAAAAAATCAAAGAGCACATATTGGGTTAGAAACCAATAAGTCATCTAATTCTATTTCAGTTTTCCTGTGTTTTGCATGAGTACTCTAACTGACCTAGGCAGATCTTCACTGGAGAATGAAGTACTGTACTACTTGTGTTCAGAAAGAGGTTTTTTCCCCTATTTAACATGAAGGGGGAAAAGCCCCTCATCTTGGTATTGAGTGTGAGGGTTTGGCTGGGATGTATGCAGCTGGGCCTGCGGTAGGCCACTAGGAGTAACTTGGGGGTCAGCAAGGCAGGGACGCATAGATCAGAGCATCAGATCAGGGTCTGCATTGGCAGAGCGGAGAGTGTGGGACCAAGTTCCAAGGGAGCCAGGAGGTGAAATCTGAGTGATGTAGTATGAACTGTAAGGTGAGGTCGGGAGCCAGGAGTTCGAGACCTGGTGCCAAGTTCCAAGGAAGATCTGAGGTTAGAGTCAAGGAAGCCAAGCTGAGTCATGGTTTCAGAGAAATCAGAGATAGCACCAGAACCAAGGTTCAGGGGAGGGCCAAGGAAAGCCAAAGCCAAGTCAGGAGCTAGGAGAACCAGACAGCAGCAAACACAAGGCTTGCCAGAATAGACTGAGGCTGTATGAAGGCATGTCAGCGGCCTGAGACTTCAGATATGGTTATAAGGCATCAGTGGTGCTTTCAGCTGCCAATCCAATTGCAGAGAACTGGGGGCATTAGCCAGGTATTGGGGGCAGGTGTAATGACTCAGGAGCTTGGCCAAGCCAGGCATGCCTGATCAGAGCCCCTGATGTCCTGTATGAGGCAATGGAGGGCAGATAGCTGTTGTAGCTCCAGCTCTGGCCCCAACCCTGGGTCAGGGCTGGAGATGCAGTGCTACTGCCTGCCCCCTCCTGCCTCTGCACCCCCTGCCACTCCTTCTCCACAGCCTCAGGCCCCCTCCACCCTTCCTCCCCCATTCCCACTCCCCTCCCCCATACTTTTGCTCCAGCACTGGCAGGCACTGTCCCCACTGGAGCATGGAACACAGTCCCCATCCAGCCCTGTAGCCATGGTACAGGTTCTGTGCTTCTGCTATGGGCCTGTGCTCTGTGCCCCAGGCTGCAACAGGGGTAGGGACTCCTGGCATGGAGCAAAGGTAAGTGGCAGGGGGGGCAGGTAGGGGTAAAGGCTTTGGGGCAGGGGAGCAGGGACCCATGGCTGTGGGGGGGGAAGCACAAGGAGGAGGTAAGTTTGAGGGAGAGAGGGGACCAGCAGCAGGAGGCAAGGTGCCTACCTGCTTACCAACCTCACACTGCCTGTCCCCCATTGCTCCCTCCACCCCTGCTCCAATACTGCCTCCTCAGATACATGTCCCCCCCCCACCTACCCCATTACTACCCCACTTATCACCTGTCCCTCCACCTGCAGTAGTGCTGGTGATGAATTTAAGATGATTCTCCATTAATTAGATTCAAAACATGGAAAATTATAACAAACATAAATTGTCCACATATAGAATTTAGTTAATGGGGGGGCGGTCATCCTAAATTCAGGGTCTTCTTGGATTTAGGTAAGTTTTTGTCATCTTTCTCCATGTGATGGATTTGCAGTGGAGGATAAACCTCTGAATTTAATTTTGTGACCAAAGGGTAGAAGGTAGAGTGGTCCTCTCAACTCCAGTCTTTTGGTCACTCATGTGAACTGTAAATGAAAACTGGGTACTTGTGAGTACTTGAGTACTTACTTATGAGTAGGAATTAATCACTTAACCTGCTGCTTGGTGAGAGGGCAGCAGGACAGGCCCTACGAGGAGAGACTGAAGAACCTGAACCTGTTCAGCCTCAGCAAGAGGAGGCTGAGGGGCGACCTGGTGGCTGCCTACAAGCTCATCAGGGGGGATCAACAGCAAATAGGCAGAGCTCTTTTCTCCCCAGCACCACCTGGGGTGACGAGGAACAATGGTCATAAGCTGATGGAGAATAGGTTTAGGTTGAAGATCAGAAGGCAATATTTTACAGTTGCCACCTTTTACAGGGTGGCCAAAATCTGGAACCAACTTCCCAGAGAGGTGGTCCTCGCCCTTACCTTTGGCAAATTCAAGAGGAGGTTGGACGATCACCTGTCTGGGGTCTTGTGAACCCAGCATTCATTCCTGCCTGTGGCAGGGGGTCAGGCTAGATGATCTGTTCAGTTCCCTCCTGACCCTAGCTACTATGAAACTATGAAACCTCTAAAATAAGTAGGGTACTAAAAAAAGGAAGGTGCTGTGAAATCATGGTTCTCTATACAACATAACAAAAATGTTAACCTCATTTTTTTTAAAGTAGTCTATTAGTAAAATAGCACTCAAAATTCATAGCTTGCAAAAATTGGCCTTATGTATTCTTCCCCACTGGAAAAAGTACTTAATATTTACTCTTTTGAATTGAGTAAAATGTATTTTAACAAAATAGCTTTATATATGCTATGCAAGAAAGCCAAAAAGCCTGTTAGAAGTGTGTCTAGAAAATTGACAAGAGAGTACCACAGAAGCCAAAATTTGGTATTTGATAGCTGTGGGAGAAGGAGCTGGTCTTACCATATGTTGAACATAAATAAGATGCCATAAACCCACTTTTGCCCCTAATGTATCCTCAGTCTAAATCCAGGTAAAATACCCCCCCCCCCAATGTGATTTAGACTGGATACTTTTTTTATTCTACTTGGTCAGACAGTAATCATACCACGCTTAAATATCCCTCCATAGCCCTTGATTTTGCCTTAAATTATGCATGTCTAAAATGTTCCTAATTATTCAGCAACGTGGTTTTCTTTACATCTGATGTCTTGCTCACTATGTAATAGCTGATAAACACTTTTTGAAAGAACAGTACCTCTGAAATGCTAATGAATTTTGCATCTGTTTTATTCCTACTTTTATACCCTACTAACTCACACTTGTGGGTGGTATCCTTATGTGCCAAAATGAAAAAAAAATGTAATAATGCATAAAATATGTCAATAATGCATAACAATCGTTCACAGTTGATCAGCTTTAAAATTACCTAATTTAAACAGTACTATACTTCTCTTTAGACTTGACATTGACTTTGTTTTAAAATGTCCTTTAAGAAAGCACTTAGAGGTAATTTATTTTGCTCATTACATAAAGCCTTTGCAGAAAGAATGTGCATTAGGAAATGCTTATTTCCATTGTTAACCCTGCAATTATTCCAATTGTTTAAAAGCTTGTGTATATTGAAACCATGCAGAATCTAAAGTTCTGACGCAACATTTATATTCAAAGGGAATTGAAAGCCAAGTAAATGATTAAATCATTTTTAAATAATGTTTTAATTAGGGGTGCATGAGATGGGTCCTATTCGATTCAAATTCGGCCCAAATCAGGGATAATGATTCAATTTGTTTATTTGGACCACTGTCCCTGGTTTGATTCGGCCAAATCTGAAGATTTGATACTGATTTAGAGAATCAGTGATTCGGCCATAAGACACAGCTTTAAATGTTTTTTCTACATACCTTGAGGTGCAGGGCGCAGCTCGTGAACACTGTGATGCTGGGGTAGATGAAGTGTCCCACAGGAGCACGGAGGGTGTCGTCGTCCCCCCCCCAATATATGCTTGGTGGTGAACAGAGAAGTAGACCAGAAGTATTTCTGATCCGCTTCTGGGTCTGCTGGGGAGTATGCGGCAGGGTGGGGGGTGACTCGGTGATCAGTCATGGGGGGGACCCCGGGTGCTCCCCCCCCAACCCAGGAGGCACCAGTCATTGAGCTGGGGGGCTGCGGCAGGGCACCCCACAGCGTGCTTTCTGGCAGACCCAAAAGTGAACCAAAAGTGCTTCTGGTTCATTTCTGAGTCTCCTGCCAAGTGTGTTGGGGAGCCCTCCGCACTCCTGTGGGACGCTCCATGCACCCCAGCATCGCAGCATTCATGAGCCTCCTGGTACCTAGAGGTATGTAGAAAAAACATTTAAAGCTGTGTCTATGTCCAATTTGCTGAATGTCTCCAAATCAGTTCAGAGGGTTCCAATTCAATTCAGAGAAATTAAAGGGTCCTCTGATTCAATTCAGTTCGGATTCAGAGATCCGGCCACTGAATCAGGCTAAATCTCCGTAGAATCAAATCGGGGACTGAAGCTTCGCATAGCCCTAGTTTTTAATTAAATGTATTCTCTTCCATCTATAGACCTGACACTGACAGACAGTGTTAAACCATCTCAGATGCTTGTCTGTTCTAACAATAGCAGATTAAGTATAGCAATTAAATGTATATGTTTGGATTCAGTGTTCTTTACCATATTTCATTTTCCAGTTGCATACACAACAGTAGTTTTACAAGGAGCAGTATTTATAATCAGTGGAACTTACCCAGTTTTAGAAATATGGGTTTTTTTCAATAAACATCTCTTCAACTGGTTGTGTAGATTGATGCACTTAAGTTTTCTCTAATTTTTCCCAGTTCATGAAATGCAGGACAAGTACTTATACTTTTCCTTCGTCCTTTCCAAATACTCAACATTTTTATCTGCACTCCTATTTAAACAGTGCACAGCACCTAAGACAACACAAAGCTTTACCTGAGTAAAATTTCCTTAAATAAATATTAAGACAGGGAATGTGGGAATTCAGTACCAGATTATGGTGGCTGCTAGCACTGTATATAATATTTAATATATACTAATTCTTCCACTAAGTAAGCGCCCAGAGAAATATCAATTACGTTGTATCTCAGGTGGCCTGGGAGGTGGAAAAAATGAACCTCATACGTATTGCTTCAGTTTTTAGTCCAGTCCACACTACAGAAATTTCCAAGTTTCCCATTGTTGCTAAAGTCCATCACTTTCACTGATGTTAGCAACATTGGTAATCCTGATACAGACAAGTTCACAGCTGTTATCAGTGTTCTAAACACTATTTTCATCATACCCTATCTAAATATTGCCAGATGAGATTGTACTTAAGACAGTTTATGCTTAAGATACCCCCCAGGATTGTTTTAGTTCTGCTGTTGTTCATCATATGAACAATGACGAGTAAAACATTTTAAAAGCAGGCAAGTTAATTTTTCTAGAGCAGATGAGACCTGGATGGCTAATATAAAAAAGGGAAAAAATATTAATTACACATGATAAAGAAAGAAAAAATACAATACAAATTTCTTCTCTTTTGTCCGTCACCTATACAGTGTTCTTACAGGCATTGTTTCAGTGAGGAGGAAGGGAAAGCAATCTGCATAGTTAGCAAAAAAAATCCGTTTCAGTTGAAATTGACCTAGAAAGAAGATAACAAATTGGACTTGTGCCCTTTGCTGCATGGTAATTTTAAAAAATAAAGTTCTGAAGCTTGTTTCTCTCAAAAAGAGGTTTGGAGGGGAGCTAATAAAGTTATGAAATGGCAAGCATTATGTCCAAAACATGGAGAATTGAGGAGTGATTCCTAGGTAGATAGAGGCCATCTAGCTGAATCTTTTGGAACAAGGTTGTGCAAAATACTCAACTCTTTAAGATACAAGAATCTGTAAAATATATAGAGAGATATAGATATATCTCTATATATCTATAGAGATATATCTATTTATCTAGATCTATCTATCTATGTATATAGATTTAGATCTAGATAGCTATATATATATCAAGTCTTCAGGTGGAATAAAACGTTATTAATTAAAAGTCCTTTGCACATAATTTTTAAATTTGACATGGAGAATTTGTTTTTTCTACCCAAGGAAGAAAACCGAGAAAGAGATTACCTATACTACAATCACTGCTGTTGCCACTTTTGTGTAGACACTGTAGCTGACTTGTTTACTGTTAGCAATGCTGCACTGATAGTACTAGCTGTAAATAGATGTCTCGTTTGACATGAGTCTGACTGTCCTGGGGTTTGACCCAGATCAAAACAGAAGTGGCACAGCCATTTATGCATTACCCTTCCAAGCGCATTACTGCTCTTCTGCTAGTACACAACAGTGGCCACCAAGAGCACACAGCCTAGCCAACTCATCCTAGGAATAACCTACAGTAACCTTACACGCACACAGCCATGTCTTGACAAAAAATGTTAGCACATTTTATCCCACATACTTCAGAAGGACTTAAAGTGGGACAGTGGACTTGTATGTCTGTAGGATCCCAGGATAAAAGAATTGCTCCCAGAACAAAAGCAAGTCTGTTTACAGCTGTGGAACTCAATTGACTGTTAGGGTCTCAGTCAATTGACTCAGCTTCTTTTGTAGGTGTTTCAATCTGCAGCAATACTACTGAAACCCAAGGTGGCTAGATTAAAGCTAATTTGGGTTCAATTGCACAAGTTGCAGTCACAGCAATGACTTCAACGTAGATGCATTTTAAATCCTAGTCAGGGGAAAAACTCAATCCAGCTAAGTGTTAGCTCTCATAAAACTAGCTTGTGTTAAATAAGTGATATACTGTCATTGTTTCAATTGACTTTTTTTTTTAAGCAGTGCCCTTTAACGTATTTCATTGATACTGTATTGTTAGAATTGTTTCCTAATTTGTAATAGAAATTGAGGAAGATATAAGGAAGATTAGGATGGGAGTTTGTATTTGCTCTCAACTGTAAATAATTTTCAAATCTAGGTTTCTTAAAATAAATAAATGCTGAATCGTGTATTCTAGTTTTCTGTACAGTAAGTATCAACCATAATTTATTTATGTTTCTATTTCCATGTAGCATTGATAGAGAGATGCAAGAAAAGTAGAGGGGCAGTCTTACCAAAGCTTTAAAATGTAGCATATGTTCATAAGGATAAATGATGTATTATTAAAACCTAGCCTTTATTTCAATAGATATATGTCCCATGCTGTCAACATTACTGGAATAAAATATGTAAAACTTGGGGAAATCAGAAAGCTTGGCAAGTAACTG